TTTTGTGACAAGCTTCTCTAAAAGTACAGAAAGACTAAGTGTAGTTTAGTGTGAGATGAGTAGTATCTTCAACATAAGTAGTAAATTGACTGTAAATGATAATAAGTGTTCATGCCATCAGTGGTTGTTAAAAGATGGTAAATGGACTGATAATTGTATATAGCAGCGCTTTTCTAGTCTTCAACCATCAAGAGCATTTTACACTACGTGCAAACATTCGACAGCCTTGTCTCATCAAGTTCACACAGCGATGGCAAAGTTCAATGCGAGAAGGAATCTAAGTCATTCATAAACATTAAAAAGGATGCTATTATCGAACACATTAAAAGGGATGCTATGATCAGGAGCAATTTGGGGTTCAGTATTTTGACTCAAGGATACTGTCGGAACGTGGCAAGTTTTTGGAGGGAGCGCGTGGGATCGAACCAACAACCGTTAGTCCGATTTGGCGGGGAGACCGCTCTGCGCGTCTGAGCACGCGCCCTATAAGGTTTATAGCACACTACATTTCTTCAGTGTTGAGTAGATGAGGTCACCGCTGTCATTGTGGAGCCCACAGTGGGCTGTTGTGTCCAGTGAATCGCTCCCAAGCTCCGTGGAAGTCATAGGTCATCACATTAATGAAGTCCAGGTGCCTGAAAATGCATTTAGAATACTGAGTAAAACAAGTTACTGAGCCAACCTTTCATCAAAAACAAAGTCTGATTTAAAATACTAGTATTTCCTAAAAAACTCTTCAGTACTTGGCAATCTCAGCAATCTCATATCCAGCGTCAATGGTTCCCTTTCCAGCAGACACTGCAGCAGTCAGCATAAGCTGGGGCCTTCCGGTGGCCTTGGCCTCAGCTGCGTATGCTTCAACAAGTTCCTGAAAATGAAGAACATTGATAAATATTCTAAAATATAATACAATATACACTGATCAGCCATAACATTATGACCACCTGGGCATCCTGGTGGTCATAATGTTATACAGCCCCATACGCAACAAACTGCTACAGTAGCTTGTCTGTTGGATCAGACACACGGGCAGCTTCATCCCGTGCATCAATGCGCCTTATCCAGTTACCGCTTTCCTTCCATAGCCCTTTTAATCCCCACAAGGAACTGCAGTTTTGGAGATGCTCTGCCAGTCGTTCTTCCAACCCACATTTGGCCTTGGTCAAGTCGCTCAAATCCTCACACTGCCCATTTTTCCTGCTTCTAACACATCAACTTTGAGGACAAAACGTTCACTTGCTGCCCGATATACCACCCACTGACAGGAGTCATGATAACCAGATAATCAGTGTTATTCACTTCACCTGTCAGTGCTCACATGGTTATGGCTAATCGGTGTACCTGGTCCCTATGGATCAAGAGTTCATGGCCCACCTTACAGAGCAGACTGAATCTCTTCTTGTCCTGTGGTGGACTGCCACGAGATCCAGGGTACTCCCAGTCCAGATCTAGACCATCAAAGCCATGAGTCCTCAGGAATTTGATAGAAGACTGGATGAACGTCTGACGGTTGGCTGGAGAGGACACCACGATGGAGAACCTTTTGGAGAAGTTTGACATATGTCATGCTTCTACCTTTGTTTAAATCTTTGCCATATCATCCTTTTCTGATGAACTAAACTTTCATTCCATATTTGCACAGTTTCTAACTGAAAAGTACTTACTGAGCAGAGCCAAAGTTCCATCCACCAACAGCCAGTAAGGTCTTCAGACTGGGGTTCCTAAGGTTAAAACAGATGGTTAATTTAATTAGCATAGTGCAGAACTGTTGAGTCAACAATTTTGTTTGTCACAGACAGTTTATGCAACTGGGATTTTCAAACTTCACATATCATATACACACAGATATAGTATTTCATACCATTGAAGGACAAGTTCTTACTTGCTCTTCAGGCCATTGAAGGTCTTGTACAAGGTCTCGTCATTCCATTCATAGGTAACCAGCTCATTTTTGTTATTGATGATGGAGAAAGCATAAATCAGATGGGTGCACAGGAAGGGATCCACATTTTGGGGCATGTATTTCCCAGTCCCAGGTCTGTACTGGGACCAGTTGGTGAAGTAACACGCCATCTTGGAGGCAGTTGCTGGAGGTCAGTGGAAGCAAATCTGTGGTCAGTATTCTTTGTAATGTCTATTATTGTCAGACACTATGCACACTTCAAAGAGTGGTTGTATGACCATGCCACATTTATAAAAGTTAACGTGTAAAGTGTAACTCACCCAGCTGGCACATCAGCAGGCACAGGCCTAAAGAAAGGTCAAAATTACAGATGAAAGCTTTACATTGCGGAAACGTATGGCACAATAAATACACAAGGCTTAATGTATCAAGTTATCAAGGCATCACGGTGATGTAAAGCAAATAAAGTAATAAATGTAAAGAGGCCTGATGACTGCTTACCTGCTAGATTAGTGAACTTGGTCATCCTGATTTCAAAGTATTACACCTTCAACTTCTTTTCTTCTACAATGAATGAACAAATTTGGAATGGAAAAAACGAGAACAAAATTGATATAAAATGATATTCATTGGAATTATTATTATTATTATAAGGTATAACTTGACTTTAACTACTGTAAAACAGTTTTAAAGGTGGGGTCAGTCATTGTGGAAAAATATAGTTGATTGTTGAATCTCATTCCTAGGTTGTCAAAAACTAACCCCAAAGCTTTGAATGAGTCTCAATTATCCATTACATTTCTCAAGAATGACTGACTCCACCTTTGACCTGGTGCTTCAACAATATCTTTTGAACAATCTTAGTTTCTCTGGCATCTTTAGAGCGTTTTGTTCTTTATCAATCAAAGTTAAACCATACAGATTTCATTCATGGATGTAACTGTTTCCCATTGTTTCAACAACTTATAATAGTAGTAATAACATAAATTAAACCTGTACAGTGTTCTTAGCCCAGCCAGTATAACCATGTTTGGATGAGGTGAATGTTTAACTTTCACATTTCCCTAAACTGCAGTATTTTTCCAAACTTATAAGAAACAATGTATATACATTTGCCTATTTTGATTTCCTTGAAAAAAACAACAACAACAAATCGCACTAAATTGGAGCTAAATCTGTACAGACTACACTGACATAGCTCTTGGAAACACAGGAGAGGAAAAGAAGTGATGCTGCTAAATTTTCAGTGCAAGCTTACCTTGGGATCTTAGAATGAACCAATGTGTATGAGTTGTATGAGCTCCTTATATACATACCACCTCTGTGGAGGATATCAGTCCTTGTCACATATCATTAAAGGAAATAATGATATGTTTGCTAGATTACAGGTACATAGAGGGATAAGATAAGTAACATCAGACCTGAGCTGACAGATGGTGATAAGCTATTGTATATGGTATAGAGACAACATATATCTGTATGAGATATGGGATTCAATTTAGGTCATGATATGACTTTGACTCAGCTGTTCCCCGCAGGAGACAATATGCAACCATTCGAACAATTTAAAAGTGAGATTTTACTGGAAAGGCAAAAACAGAAAATAAATATATATATTTCTAATGTGTTATTGTGATCTCCTGAACACTGTCAGCAAACAACAAAGCTACGTTTCTGTGTTTTCGTAATATGTTATTAGGTGTCTTTGGTTGTTACCATGGAAACACAGCTCAACGGTGTCCTTGTACTGACCAAGGACAATGTGGCCTCACATTAACTTGTTTCAGCTGATCCAAGTATAGGTTCTGCATCACACAAAGAGCTGATGCCGTTGTTTATGTGTATTGCAAGACTGCAATTGAACCATATGTTCCATATATCAGTGAGACCTGTATAAAACTACAGATTCATGTAAGATCGGACCGTTTACATACAGAAAGCTTGAACCGTTTTATTTTCTATTTGTTGCAAAATTCACAATACTTCCAATTAAGATAGGCCCAGCTAAATTAGCATCTTTGGGAAAATTATGAAAATGCACATTTATAATTTAAAGAGATGATATACAGTAACAGTGGTTTGCCATTAGCCGTGCTATTGTTTACTTCTGCTTTCCAAAACCAGAAACCTGGCCTAGCATACAGCAAAATAGATTGATTTAATGGTCGCATGCATACTACTATGAAGTAGTAGTTGTCAGTAGAATGCAGGCGGTTCTGAATACAACCAGGGTGCTGCTATTGTGCTGATTGACTCACTGGAAAGGACCAGAACCTTATTTAGTTCTGTTGTTGTTGTTTTTGTTGTTGTTGTTAAATGCACATGGTGAGCATCAACATTCATTTGTGACCTTTGTTACTTCTGTTGCTATAGCACAGGTTGCTAGATCAATTACAAAAGAGATGCAAAGTATTAATTAGTGAGCTTTAGAGGTGTAATTTATTTCACATTGGACAAAGCCAGGCTCGAAGATCTAAATTACTTTATCTCTCTTTGGTAGTCATAAGCTGAAGAACATTAAACTTAACCATTAAACTTAACCATTGTTATTAGTAAATACTGCTGTGATAACACATTGGTGTACAAATAAATGATTAATGCTTGTATTGATAACAGAGTTATATAACTCACATTTGCGTATGGTGTGTGTGACAGTGTAGTCTATTAGATGTGATTTTGTGTTTTTTCAAGTCCCTGAAGTCAGTTCATTTACGAGAGGAGAAAAGATCTTATCTTATCTGAACTACAGCTGGCTCAAATGGCACACGTGCTCCCTGTTCATGTTTTCATTCAAAGCTGATGGTCCTGACTAATGATGATTTTTATTATGCATATTTTTATTGTTGTTAAATGCATGTCAGCATTAATATAGTATCTGATGTCTGTACAGTATCATAATTGCAGCAATTTTATCAGATGGATCTCAAGATACCATGTTTTTTTATCTTATGTTATGATATTGAACTCATTTATGATTAAAACATTTAAATAGTTTTATTAGTACACATAATTCAACACCGGGTTAATTAATTGTTGAGTCTCTTTTCCCCTGGATATAAAACTGAGGTCGTAACACAGGCTATGGTGTATGACGGCTGCATCTGGCACATGTGTTGTGTTTACTCCGACTGTGTGGCTGCTGCCAGCCCTATCTTTCTATACTTAATTTTGATAAATCTCATACAATAAAAACCTTGTTAACATATGAATAGATTCTGTTGCCAGAGAGCTTTTATTTTTCTTTTTTTTTTCCATGTCTGTGACTGTAGTACAAGGTGGATATTATATATATATATATATATATATATATGTTGCTGGTATAATGTCAATATCACTATAAACAGACCCTTTTCACTGTATTTCTGCTGGGAACTGCATGCAGTTCACGGAAAAAATAGGCAAGACCTCGACTTTCTAGTGAAACACTGCTGCAGCCTCAGGTGAGACATGCGGTTCATCCCAGTGTAAAAAGCAATCAAGAGCAATAAATGCACTTAATTTGTACTGACCTTGACTCATTGCTCAGCAGCGCTTTATCATGGCTCCATTTCCAGTGGTGTCATACTTTTAGCAAACAGATGTTGTTTGCTGCAACTGTTGTGATTAATGTCCCTTGGTATGTTTTTGTGTTACTGTAAATCCAATTTTCCATAGAGAGACAACAAAGATCAGAACTGAACTGAGAAGCTTTAGAAAATTAGAATATTTGATAGGTATTCTTCTAAAATAGTGCTAAACATCTGCCAGTTAATGAGAACCTTTCTGAATGTCTGAAACTTTATCAGATGTATCTCAAGATACCATGTTTTTTATCTTATGAAACTTGGGAATACTGAACTGAAAACCGCCTATCCAGATTTGAGACACACAAAATTTCTCAATGTAAATATAAAATATAATTTAACACATGGGGGGAAAACGGCATCCAAGACATCCAAACCTGCTGAACAGTTCCAGAACTCTAATGTGGGTTTCTTCAGTGGGTGTACAGATACCCCCAGGTGTACTTTAAAGAACTGCAAGAGGTATGTAAGGGTATTTTTTTTAGGTTAATTTAAAAAATATCAGTCATGAATAATTCCTAAAATAATTATACTATAAGTTAAAAAAAAGCAAAGTAAAAAGTAAAAGCAAGTTCTATAAACTCAATGTTCTTATTTTCAATGCAAGCATTTTCAATGCTATCGCAAAGAATGACAAAGACCTTGAGTGAAGCACTAGGCCATGTTTCTCACTAAAATGTAACTAATCAAAAAGATGCCGTACAAAAACTTTGCCATAAATTTAGTTGTGGATTGGAAAATCAAGAATTTAAGTTTTTGTTTTATAAATCTGACACTGTGCAGTATTGTTTTGTACCTCAAATATCATTTTTTGAATTTCTACCAAAGATGTTGGTCAAATGTTTCAAAGGAGGTACAATAATTGGGCATCACTGGTTTGAGAGGCAGCTTTTATATTAATGATCAATACAGCATTTCAATAAATCATTAGTGTCTCTGCTATATGACCTGACTCATGCACTGACAGCAGAGTAGTAAAACAGCAGATATAAATGGAGTCATACTAATCAGTAACCCAATGAACTATTACATCATGTGCAGGATGGTCATTTGCTCAGGTGAGACATGCGGTTCATCCCAGTGTAAAAAGCAATACATTTTCCTTTGTTCCAAGAGCAATAAATGCACTTAATTTGTACTGAACCTTGACTACATTGCTCAGCAGCGCTTTATCATGGCTACATTTCCAGTGGTGTCATACTTTTAGCAAACAGATGCTGTTTGCTGCAACTGTTGTGATTAATGTCCCATGTCCCTTGGTATGTTTTTGTGTTACTGTAAATTTCAATTTCCCATAGAGACAATAAAGATCAGAACTGAACTGAGAAGCTTTAGAAAATTAGAATATTTGATAGGTATTCTTCTAAAATAGTGATAAACATCTGCCAATTAATGAGAACCTTTATGCCTGTTACCACAGGCCCACACTGATTACTATTTGTGTTGTCAGTAGCTAAATGCAGGAAGAGGTCAGGTCTTACACCATGTCATATGTTGCATTGTGGGAATGCACCACATTTCAAAAACAAAACTTACCTGTTCCAGTTATTGGTAACTGTTTTGCACAAGCAAATCCAAAACCTCAATAAAATATTTAACTCAATCAAATGCCATATGAGCATGATTAAATTATGATAAACTTTCAATAGGATCATTGTAATCCAACACATACAGGGAAGTATTAGTAAATGATTGACTGTTTATTGTAAACTGGATTGCTTTATCTATAGATGCAATTGAGTTTTTTTTTCTTTTCTTTAAAAAAAACCGTTATAGTCAGTAAATAGTATAATAATTTTTAGGTGTGTTGTAACTTTTTGCAATTACAATTATGGTAACTTGTGTGATGTTATTGTGTCAATTTATTACGACTCTTTAACACTTTCAGTCAGGATTTAGAGTTCATCACAGCACAGAGACAGCACTGGTTAAAGTTAATAATGACCTTTTGATTGCTTCCGAC